CGTTTGCTGTAGGATTTATAATTAGATCAAAGCAAAACAGTTCTCATGTTGCCTAATAATCATAAACCTGCAGCATATACAATTAACACATTGCCTAGTATAGTTTTATACTACTGGTGAGATTAGGAAATATAACAGTGAGTTTGCCAATACCGTCTTTCCCCTAAAATAAGACACTAGGGCTTATTTTTGGGAGATGTACTATTTCGGAGAAAAACGGTAGCAAGCATGTGCTAGAAAGCAGGTCTACGTTCATGGAAACTTTCCCAAACATAGATTAGTTAACTCGCGAATGGAATCCTGTGAATCTGTATTTGGGGAAAATTCCCCAAACATAGATTAGCAAACTAGTGACTAGCAACAAGGGCTTATTTTTGGGCTGGGGCTTGTATTATGAGCATCTCCAAAAAAAAGCTAGAGCTTATTTTCGGGGGGATTTCTTATTTTAAGGGAAACAGGGTACTAGATGGTATTAGCCCAAGCTGTAATAGAGGCAGCAAAGCGTCTGGAGACACTACTTCAGTGTTAAACAGTATGAAAACGGTTTAACTCTAAAAGGTAGGATGACACCAGAGGGACTTCATGCACCATAACAACCAGATTGAGATGAAGTGGTTATAAAAACACAAAGAATGATAGAAGTCATGTGACTATACAAACAACATGCATGCTGTGGGAGTTATGCCATTCCATTGGGTTGTTTTTTCTTGCATTGCATATCAGATTAGCAGAGGCAATGATTACACCATTTAACTGAGAATATCTTGAGTTTGTCCCTGGGATACGATGATACCGTGGGCTTCAAGTGAGAAACACTCTTGCCGACACGCTGAAAAATTTACTCAGGAACAGCACACACCATGAAGGTTATATTCTCAGTTTTGTTAATGAGATTGTATTTAATTAGAAAGAAGTAAGCAACAGAGAACACAAACCTTCAACCACACATTTAAGGCCCGTCAGACAATGGGGAGCCAAGACCACATATATAAAAAAAACACTTTAAAAATAAAAGGACCTCTACAACACCTAACTTTAGATAGCGGAGTCCTTGGGCATATGTCAGGGATGGGCATGTGAAGTCCATATAACTACACACGATAAGGCCAGGCACTATGACTGTACTGATTCGTTATTTTCATTAATTCCCTGATATTTTCTGGGCATCTCTTACAGTTAATGTGCATCTTTTTATTTTAATAAGCAATGTAAGTAGCAAGACTGCCATTACTTATCAAAACGGAATTTGAAATTGAATGTGTCTAGAGTTTTGCGTATCGTCCACCCTACTGTTTACTAACAGAATTGTTTTTTGGTTTTTTTGTCTTGTTTTTTACTCTTTAACCTTAAAAATGTGCAGTATTAACCTGTGACGTTGTCAAATGTTGTAAGATGCACACAGACGCTGATGTGGCTTTGTGTAATTGTTGTTGATACATGCACGACAAAAATAAAGAATTTAAAAAAAATAAAAACAAAAGGACAAATTGTCAATAACCCTTACACTCTACGCACTATGAACATTTCATCTCATTAAATTGGTTACAATGCCTGAAATCTTCTAGCGCCGTCCTAACATTCAATGTTAGCCTTTTATGAGCTGTCTAATACCGACACAGGGGTCCCAGGACCCTATAACCCAGCTCACATTAACCCCTTAAGGACACATGACATGTGTGTCATGATTCCCTTTTACTCCAGAAGTTTGGTCCTTAAGGGGTTAAAGGTATGGCAATGACAGCGATTACACACTTCCTGAGTTACACCAATTCACCTTCATTTGGTGCTTAGTGAATAAACCCCTTAGCAATAATAGTATATACTGGTGAATGTAGGGGTATTCCAAGGTAAATTACAAAAATGTATGCAGTAGAAACAAAACAAATGTTCCTTTGTCGTATCAAATATTTAGATCTAACAGTTGAAAGCTACTAAAAATGTTCTACTCCAAAAGACTTTAAACCGTAATAATGTCACTTAAAGGAGCGTTCAAGAACCACAATGAATGACCCAGGCGCCATCTTACAGGAAGATGTTAAACAGGGCCGGACTGGGAATTAAAAGCAGCCCTGGAAAAAAAATATTTACCAGCCCCATAATGCGTCGCGCCAGCATAGTGTGCTGATACAGAGTTAGAACAGATAACTTAAAATTAAAAAGTACTTCAACGTAAAAAGCGCAATCATAGGCTTCAAAATAAACAAAAGTGCAGATTTATTTTAAGCAGACGTGCCTTTGCATGTAATCAATGTTTCAGTCACACTACCTTGACATATTAAGGAAAGCTTGTTAATGGGACTGAAATGGTGAATGTATGTAGGGCACAACTGTAAAAAAAAATGTATTTTGAAGTCCTGTGGGTGCGCTTTTCACTTTAAATATGTTATTGTGCTGGAGTATGCACCTAGCAACAAGACTGGGCCAATATCTGCTCATTACATAAGGTACATATTAATGACATTTCTCTGTGTATTATGCATTTATAAATGTACATTAATATGTGTAAATATAATAGGTATATATATATATATATATATATATAACTAACACACACATTAATATACATGTCATATACCAGTGGCGGATCCAGAGCCTGAGCCCGGGAGGGGAACTTGTAGATTATTTAAATAAATATTCCATGCACAATAACCACTACTCCTCTGTGTAGTGGTTATGGTGCCAGGAGCGTCGGCACCCCTTCCCAGAGTAAGTAGTCAAACCGTTTAAGAACAGTTTGACAACTTACCTGGAGTCTGCTGGGATATGGGGCTGTACTAGGGTATAGGAGCAGTGGTGCAATGTGTGTGAAAGGTTCAGTGTGTGGGTGGGCAGTGTGTGAATGTGTATGGTGTGTGTGTGGGGGGGGCAGTGTGTGAATGTGTATCTTGTGTGTGTATGGAGCTAGAGTTCACTCCTACTACTGCGACCCCCAGGAAGTGGTGAGAGTGAACTCTAGCCCGTAGCTCCAGGGCTAGAGTTCACCCTCATGAGAGCCGGAGCATTGCCCCGGGTCCTCTCTTCCTCTCCTGCCGGCTGCCTGCACAGTGCCTGTGGAACGGGGAGGGAGATCGGCCGGCAGGGGAAATTGCCCCGTTGCCCCCCCCATCCACTAGTGATATATACTGCCCCTATGTGTGTCTCTATCTCCAGCCCCTCTGTGTGCCTTTTTGTCTCCCCCAGGCACTCTGTATGTTTCTTTCTCCCCCTCACTGCTCCTCTGTGTCAATGTCTCCCCTCTCCTTCCCAGTCTCTCTCTTCCCCCTCTGCCTCTTTCTTCCCCTCCCCTTGTGTGTCTCTCTCATTTCTCCCTCTTTGTCTCTCTCTTCCCCCTCTGCCTCTTTCACCCCCTTTCCCTGTGTCTCTTCCTCCTCCCCATCTCTCTCCCTGTGTCTCTCCCCTCCTCCCCATCTCTCTCCCTCCCCCTTTCCCTGTGTCTCTCCCCTCCTCCCCATCTCTCTCCCTCCCCCCTTTCCCTGTGTCTCTCCCATCTCTCTCCCTCCCCCCTTTCCTGTGTCTCTCTCTCCCCTCCCTGTGTCTCTCCTCCCTTTTCCTGTGTCTCTCCCCATCTCTCTCCCTCCCCGTGTCTCTCCCCCATCTCTCTGCCTCCCCGTGTCTCTCCCCATCTCTCTGCCCCCGTGTCTCTCCCCATCTCTCTGCCTCCCCGTGTCTCTCCCCATCTCTCTCCCTCCTCCCTTCCTCTATTCCCTCTCTGTTTTATCCCCCCATTTACCTAGAGAAGTCAGGGGCCGCGTTCCAGACTGGAGTTGCCGGGCCGGGTGGCACTCCAGTCACTGCTGTTGCTGATGGCTGAAGGAGGAGGAGCATGTCTACCATGCTCCCTCGCGGTTCCTGTGCTGGGAATTGTGGGAACCGCGAGGGAGCATGGTAGACATGCTCTTCCTCCTTCTATGAGAGCTATGCGCATTAGGTCTCCTCAGCCAGCGGGCGGGATCAGTCTTGTCCACCAGCAACTGGGTATGGAGGGTGGGAGGGAGAGGGGACCTGCAGTGCCAGGAAAACTGGAGTGTCCCTTTAAGGAGACGTGCATTTGCATGTAACCAATGTTTCAGTCCAACTACCTTGACATATTAAGAAAAGTTTGATAATGGGACTGAAATGGTGACTGTATGCTGTAGCATAGCTATACAAAACAAATGATGATTTATTTTTGATTTTGAAGTCCTTTTAGTGTGTTCTTCACTTTGGCTGAGATCAAACTTGATGATCTCAGCCAATCCAATGCTTTCCCATAGGAAAATATTGGGAGGCTATAGTAAATGTGTGGTATAACACTGCACGGACATTCAGCATTTTCATTCAGTTCCTACATGCAGACCTAATCTAATACACTACTCTCCATCAAATACACTGCCCCCAAATCCAATACACCCTGTCCACCCTACTCTATGTAACGGTACGTACCCGGTCTGCGGGTACTTACCCAGTGTGATCGGGCGTGCGGCCCGTACAGTATTTCAGAACGCTGCTCGCATCGTGAACACATTCTTAAAGAGGAAATGGGAGCCTAACCTTGTGGTCGGCTCCCAGTGGCCCTCGTCATTCCGGCCAGGGGAACACAAATGAGTTATCAAACTGTAATAAGACTCTATAGAAAGAGGAACGGTTACTTTTATGGAATTTGCATAATTTGCTTATTTATTTATAAAATATTTTACAAGAATACATTGAGAATTCTCTCGTTTTCAAGTATGTTCTGGGCCAGCAAACACTGCATTGTTACAATAGGGTACAGTATAATATTAAAAATATAAAATAATATTAATACACAACATATATAAATTTAACACAGAACAGGTAAGAAATATAATCCACCATGACTACAGGTGCATTCTGTTTTGAGATATGTAGAGAGGGATCTCTTAACCCCTTAAGAACACAACTTCTGGAATTAAAGGGAATCATGACAGAATCTTTCCATCATGTGTCCTTAAGGGGTTAAAGGATTTTAGGCTGGGGGTAAATTTGAAAGTGTGTGGGAGGTCGTTCCATAATTGCAGTGCTCTGTAGGAAAATAAGGATTGAGCTGCTTTCTTTTTGTATTGAGGTAGACTAGATATCGTGCTAGTACTGGATCGGAGTTTATAGGAGGTGGAAACAGCCAGGTAGAGCATTCTGCTCAGGTAGGGTGGGAGCTTCCCAGAAAAGCTCTTAAACACAAGGCTGGAATGATGAAGGGTGCGTCTGGACTCCAGCGACAGCCAGTTAAGTTCGTTTAGCATATATGAGAAAATAAGGGTTTGGCTGAACTCACCTACACATGCTAAATTAGGGTGCTGCTGGGGGCCAATAAGTACAGTAAAAATTAAAATCCAGCGTACTCACTTATCTACTAAACAGTCATTTTAATGCTAAACAATTTTCAGTTTTATTAAAAACACCTAATCTAGGCAAAAAAATATAATGGGGGTTTAGTTACAGTATATGATCATACATTGCATAAGCCTGCCACAACGCCAATGTACCCCATCTTTGGCAGGTCCTACTCTGTCTGCTAAATGAGCTTCTCACTTGGGGAAATCCTTCCATCTCGAGGTCTCTGCAGTACAATGCTTAAATAGGATCCTGAGATGAGGCACCTGTAACAGGGAGGGGTGCAAAACCCATGGTTCGTTTAGCATGTCACAATGGTGGGCCATGTAATTACATTGAGGAACAAGCGGCAGAACGCGTTATACAATGTATTCAGTTTATGAAGGTGGCTTTGCGGCACATTTACAACATCCCCCTTTTCAATAACTGACATTAGTATTTGCTGTACAATCTGTTTCTTTACTGTGAGGCTTAGGCGAGATCATTGAATAATTCATAGACAATCCCCTATTACTTGAAGTGACCAATTCTACAAGATGCTCCTTTTTCTTGTAAATTTGTACCAAAGATATGGCAAATTACTTCAAAACCAGTTTGGATAAGGCAAACCCAGGGCAAGCATTGCAAGGAAAGAGGAGCCATAGAAACCTTGTCTTTATTTCTCATTTTCTCCATGTGATTTTTCAATGTTTGTAGTAACCAACAGGAAGCAAAGATGGAGGCATCCATTTGCAGGATAAATAAGTCACAGATACATATTTGTTAAAATAGGGATAAGTAATCTATTAAAAATCCTGGATGGTATCCATTTAAGACTGACAATCCAAATGGACATGAGTGGGGAATCCGAAAACATAGAAACATAGAATGTGACGGCAGATAAGAACCGTTCGACCTATCTTGCCTGCCCAATTTTCTAAATACTTTCATTAGTCCCTCACTGTGTTAACCTCTACCATTTCAGCTGGAAGGCTATTCCGTGCATCCACTACCCTCTCAGTAAAGTAATACTTCCTGATATTATTTTTAAACCTTTGTCCCTCCAATTTAAGACTATGTCCTCTTGTTGTGGTAGTTCTTCTTCTTTTAAATATAGTCTCCTCCTTTACTGTGTTGATTCCCTTTATGTATTTAAATGTTTCTATCATATCCCTCCTGTCTCGTCTTTCCTCCAAGCTATACATGTTAAGATCCTTTAACCTTTCCTGGTAAGTTTTATCATGTAATCCATGAACCAGTTTAGTAGCCCTTCTCTGAACTCTCTCCATTGTATCTCCAAAATTGTTTGTTTATTTTTCAATCTACTTTGGACACAAACCAACTGTTTGTAATAGTGTAAAAAAAGTTATACATTTCATGACTATAAAACAAAGATCATGTTTGTCTTTTGTATCACCTACGACAGTAGTTTCCACAAATTTGTCCGCATCCACAGCAGTCCAATTTATTATTATACCTTTTGGACTAATTAAAGGGAATTTCTGTACCCTATATCCTTTAGAAATACAGGACAGCCTGCATTGGAACTAACTGGCTACAGTGTAATAAATAGTTAATTTTAGAACTGGAGATGGGAGGGGAAGCATGGGCTGACATGCTCTGAGGACAGGCTCAGTAACTTCCTGGTTTAAAGACAAACTCTACAATTTACATCTACTTTATAATCAACAAAACAAGTAACCAGACGAAAAGGTAAGAGTTTAACTGACTTACTATTTAATCGTAACAGTCAGACAATTGTTTCTCTCTTCAGAAATCTACATTGAAACAACATTTCAGTTTAAACAAAAACAAACAGAAAACTGAACGACAAAATGAAAGTAAGCATTAAAGGCCTGAGCAGTTATTCCCTCGTATTTTACTTCATAGGTGAATCAACAGTAGCTGTGCTTGAATTGAAATTATATCAGAAAACACACTGAAAAATGGATGATCTGTCAGTAATGCTGCTGGGGATATCAACAAATCTTGATGACAAGGAACTTAAAGATTTAAAGTTTCTTTGCCGGGAGAAGATCTTTAAGAAACGGCTAGAATCTATAAACAGTGCCACCGATCTTTTCACGTGCCTTATGGAACTGAACGAAATCTCGAATGAAAATTTAGATACTCTGATAAAATTATTGAAATTAATCAAGAGAGATGATCTTGTAAACATAGTGGACGATTACCAAATACACCACCTGGGCTTTTCCACACAGCCTGAGAGACAGGAAAGAAGTAAGTAATGATTTCTGATTATGTATGGTATGTGTATATTAGTAGTGTGTGTGTCTATACATACACAGCGTGTAGGCAGATATGGGACAGTATTTTTAGTTTCATAATGTAGACATAAAGAACATTTAACTCCTTAATTACCAAGGCTGTTCATCCCAAGCTGAGACATCCAAGTAATATGTCAGTGACTGTTGGTCCATGTATGTGCTTCTGATGGTTTGATTAACACCAGAATGCACTGGTCCAGTGATAGGTATGGAATCGCCCCAGCAATCACATGTCTGTGGGGGCCTCCAGAAAGCCATTTCTGTGATATTTAAATTCCTAGCCCACATTCAGAGTCAGCAGGCAGAGCTAAAGTAACCTCTGAGTCAAAACCCCAGAGGCAAGCCAAATACTGCTTCTAAATTAAACCTCACTGCCCAAACTGGACTAGCAAGTTATATAATGTGATTATTATCTGAAATATTACATCGCCTCACTGGAGGGAAGCATGCTGTAAAATACCACAGGTTATTTCATATAATCCTGAGAAGTGCTCATTTAAAGCAGCACTGTCACTTTCTCCCCCACCCTTCCCAAAAATTGAGTATTTCATAAAGATTGAATCTCTATGAAATTCGGAGCTGAAGAGAACCCCCGGAAGAAGATGGAGGCACCTATGATGGACAGGTTCAGGTAAGTAAAGCTCACCTTTACCAGCACCCTCCCCCCCACCCCTTCACTACAAGCATCATGACACTTCTTTGATGTTGGGTGGTCATGGTGCCTGCAGTCTGTATGTGCAGTGTATCGGCTTGAAATGCAGTACATAGAGAGACTAACCCCTTATTCTCCGAACCTGTAACTCTACCTCTGCCAGCGTTAGAGCGAAGTTCCATGCTGCCTAATGAAAATTCGATATAATTGTGCATTATTTCTCTAGGTCAGCTTGATCAAGCATTTGACATCATATGTGAAAATCTCGGTAGTAACTGGAAGATGTTTATGCGCAGACTTGGAGTTACGGACGTTATTTTGGACCGTGCTATGGCTGCACATCCTTACAGTATGTATGAGCAGCAGATGCAGTGTTTCAAGGATTGGCGGAGAATGAAGGGAGAGACGGCAACGGTTTCGGTTTTGTGCGAAGCCCTCCGAAGCAGCAAATTGAAACTGATAGAGGATATACTGACTGAAAAGCTGGAACTAAGCTAGATTATTTTATATATATTTCCACAACTTGTGTGGTTATCAAATCATTGCCTGTGAAATGAATTCTTACACTAAGAGCAAGCCGGGGTTTTACTACACAATCTAGATTTTAAGCTCCTTCGAGCAGGGTCCAGAACAACTTATCATCCTGTCCAAATTTGTAATAGTTTCTCATTTGTTTTTAAATCCCCCTTTACAATAATGTAAAGTACTGCTGAATACATTGGCGCTATATTAATGCCAATAATAATAATAATGGAGGTTTTTATGTCAAAAGCAGTAAACTTTGTATTGTTTTATGCCCATTCTTGTTGATTAGATGGACAGGTAGAACATGTTGCATGGTATAAGTGACGTCAGCACAGCTCTGCGACATACATGCCCGGGCCTTCCTGAGATTAGTGGGAGTTACACACCCTGACAGCAGTTGACACCATTGTCTCCCATTATGGGTATGCCAAGATAAGAGCAGGGAGGATAGAGTCAGTGTGATTCTCCAGGCATGTCTGTAATAGGAAATGGACAACATTTAAATTGCAGTATGATCACCATAACTAGCTATCGATTTAGTAGTTATGTTGCTATTTAGGCTGCAGTCGCTGTCCTCCGGTTCTGAGTTAAACAGTTTGCGTGGTTTGACTCAGAATACCTGTACCTAACGGCTAATGGAGAAGTAGAATATTCATGTTAAGAACTTAAATTTCAGCCATATTTAAATGGCAATGATAGGATTAACAGCCTATCAATGCCATCCATATCAATACACAAAGAGGGGGGCAGTTCTTGGATGTCTCAGGGATCCCCAGTTTTGCTAAACCAGTTAAGAAACTGATTGACCTGGGGAATGGTGCCTGGATATATAAATGTTTACATATATACACACAGATTTTAAAAAAGAAGTTGACAAAAAGGCCTTCTTAATGTCTCTGTTCCTTCTCATTGCTTCAGTTTTAATTAATATTGCAAAATGGAAGGAGAAAATAATATTGAGAAAACAATGTATTAAGAAGTTTTCTTTTTTTTTAAAGTAACAGTAAAACCTCACACAAATCGCTGCTATTGGAAGCGGTGGTAAAGTATATTTTTAACACAAATCTTTGCTAAATAAAGCGTAATGCAGGATATCTGTGACAATTTTTTGGCAGTTCTGTATAAATCCATAGATAGTTATGTTGACTTGAGAAGAAATTTGTAACATTTAGGCTAAATAGACCTGGAAGACAAATTCTCAATTTTTTCAAGCTGCGATATTTTAGCTTTAAAGAGACAGTCTAAACACCAAGGACACATAACTCTTAATGAAGTACTGCCCGGTGCTGCCACTGTAGCTTTGCGGCTGGTATAGAGCATCAGCTGATCACTCTCAGCCAATAGAAACATAGAAACATAGAATGTGACAGCAGATAAGAACCATTCGGCCCATCTAGTCTGCCCAATTTTCTAAATACTTTCATTACTCCCTAGTCTTATCAATGAGCTAAGCCCCACAATGCTTTGCTGAGGGGGGGGAGAGGGGGAGGGGTCAGGAGGGGGGCACAGGACCATGGCAGACAAGTCTGGTTGATGGACGCAGACTTTCAGAACTCTTCATCAACAAGACTCGATGAAGGGTGATATTAAAACTCTATTCTGAGATTACAAAAGAATGTGGAAATCAGAATTAGGAGTTTTAAAGAAAGAGGTGGAGAATCTCTCTGGTAGGATACTTACGTTGATGAAAACAGTGAGGCTAACTAAACGGTATTGATATCACACGGTACTAAATCAGATAAAATTCTGCAAGATGCCGCAGACAGTTTGAGTAGCCTGTAGTATACTGTTAAAACACATAGACCTTTACGGAATGTCTTTACAGATATTGCATTTTCCTACAAAAATGTGCCCATTTGTCGTACGGTTTTATTCTACAGCCTTTTACAGGCAAGTTATAGCAGTATTAATTATTAGATGTCTGGGTAGACATTCTTCATCATATAATGTGTTTTTTATTAGTAGCAGCACAACTACTCATAAAACTTCCATTATTTTCCTGTACGTGGCAGTTATAAAACCAATATGTCTTAGCAATGTATTACAGCTGTATTCCTTTGGTTTCAAAAGATTTAATTGTCTATGGTGAATGGATTAAAAACATTAAATATGGCGGGGGCACCAGGCCACTTCTGACATCATAACCACTTCATCATGCTGTAGTGGTTATGGTGCTCAAGGAGTTCCTTTAAAAAGTCAGCAAATAACAGATCTGTCACATTCAGCCAGGGCCGGACTTGCCGACCGGGATACCGGGAAATTACCTGGTGGGCCGCTGCACCTGGGGCTGGGCTGACAGCCCTAATCAACACTAATCAGGCTCCTGTAATCCCGGCCAGCCATGTGCGAGCTGGGAGCAGGGGGCACCAGGCGGCCGACACAGCTCGCACATGGCCGGGATTATAAAAAAAGAAAAAAAAAAACAATATTGCAGCAGGGGCGGAGCTTATCACGCAGCGGGGGCTGAGCTCACTGTGCGGCACGGGCGGGGCTAAATTACCCGGGTAACTGGAGCATAGGAAGCAGGAAGGAGTCCCTGCTTCCCTAACAACCAGTCTCCAGGAGCTCCAAGGGATGTGGAGGTAAGAAGCAGGTCAGTGTGTGTGTGTGTGTGTGAGAGTGTCTGCCTGTGTGTGTGAGAGTGTGCGACTGTCTGCCTCTGCGTGTGTGTGAGAGTGTGTGACTGTCTGACTGTGTGTGTGTGTGTGTGACTGCCTGCCTGTGTGTGTATGTGACTGTCTGCCTGTGTGAGTGTGTGACTGCCTGTGTGTGAGTGTGGCTGTCTGCCTCTGTGTGTGTGTGTATGTCTTTGTGTGTGTGTGTGTGTGTGTGTGCGCATCTGCTAGTGAGTGAGTGAGCTTCTGTGTGTGTGTGTTTGTGTGCATCTGCTAGTGAGTGAGTGAGCATCTGTGTGTGTGTGTGTGTGCGCGCATCTGCCAATGAGTGAGCTTGTGTGTGTGAATCTGCTAGTGAGGGAGCTTCTTGTCAGTGTGCTTGTCTGTAGGCATCATGTGTGCATCTGCTAGTGAGGGAGCTTCTTGTCAGTGAGCTTGTCTGTAGGCATCATGTGTGTGTGTTAGTGAGCTTGTCTGAGCCTGTCTGTGGTGAGAATGTGTGTGCAGTGAGCTTGTCTGTAGTAAGCATGTGTGTGATCGTGAGCTTGTCTGTAGTGACCATGTGTGTGTCAGTGAGCTTGTTTATAGTGAGCATGTGTGTGTGTGTCAGTGAGCTTGTCTGTAGTGAATCTGTGTGTCAGTGAGCTCTTCTGTAGGGAGCATGTATGGGTCAATGGGCTTGTCTGTAGGGAGAGTGTGTGCACACCAGTGAGCTTGTCTGTAGTATGCTTGTGTGTGTATCAGAGTTTGTCTGTAGTAAATTTGTGTGTGTACCAGTAACCTTGGCTGTGTGTGTCATTGAGATTGTCTGTCAATGAGCCTATTTGTGTGCATCAGTAAGATTGTGTGTGTCTGCATGTGAGTATGCTTTACTGTATAATTTAATTACCCTGAAAGGACTAATATTTTGAATTAGTAAAAGAAATATACCAATAATATATATATATATATATATATATATATATATATAACACATAAAATAGCACAATGACTTATGGGGCTGGCATAGATTTTTTTCCAGGGCTGCTCCCTATCCCTTTAAAGCCGTTGCGGCGGCATAGAACGCCGTAACGGCTTTCTGCCCCAGGGGATCGCAGCTACTTACCTCCGCTGCGTTCCTCTTCTGGAGGGCTGCCAGACCGCCCAGGCAGCCCTCCTCCGGCAAGTGAGGCCCCCGGGAGCCATGTGATCGCTCTCAAAGAGCGATCACATGGCCCCCTATAGCTGGCTATGGATCTGCCAGCAAGGGGACTGTCTGAAATGTCATACAGTCCCCCTGCTGGTGGGAAATGTAAAAAAATAAAATTAGACCTGTTTTAAAATAAATTAAATACATATATATATATATATATATATATATAAATACATATATATATATAAATACATATATATTCAAATATTACCATATCAGTGTTTTTATATTTGACATGATTGTAAATTGTCATTTATCAATATTACTTGATGATGAATCCTACTATGTCAATCTCAAGAGACTGGTTCTCATCCCTGAGCTTGTAGTTCCTCTTCCGTCCTAAAAATTAAACCAAAAAGCAGAATTTAACCTGTAGATCCTGCTCTCTACTGCCCTCTTCCAGTGATAAGTGACCATGCACTTTCAGAATTCAGCTTTTCAGTGAACTTTATAACCGTATTGATGCATGAAGCGCCACTCACATGTTGGGCAGTACATGTGACGTGCTGCCCTTGAAATCCTATTGTATTTGGACGCAGTCATTCAATTGATTGATAGCCATGTTTAATACCGATGTGCTGCTGATTAATTAGGTTCAAACTTTAATAGATTATTCACTAAAGTGAGAATTCAAGGTGTAGGGAGGAAAAGGCAACATTTTCCTGAAATCACAGTTACTGAAAAACATGACACACGTTCCTGATGAGGTTAAAACCGAAACAAAGAACACCAACAGAAAAAAGCACCAACAAACTACAACGGACATGAGGAAGCTTCCTACAGGTGACTGTGGTGGTAACATGAATTGTGAAAAGGACAAATTACTTCTAAAAACAGTGAAATCCATTTCTGCCTTGAACTATGTAATCAGTAAACAAAAAACACACTAATCAAATGGCAATGATGACCAGACATGGTTTATTATTTATAAAGCGCCAATATACGTACAACAGGTGGACTAATGAAAAGTTGCAACATAACAATGCGGATGTACAGGAACAGAACGTAACGAGGGCTGTGCTCAAGCAGGCTTACAATCTAATGGTCTGGGTCAGACGGTATAGAATGTGCAGAAACTGATCCATTTAAAAAAGTCAACACTATTTTTAAATCCTTTAGCTCTGTCAATAGTTAACCTATGGATTACCAAAGGAATGCACCGTACACTAAAATGACACTGCCACTGCATCCCATTCACAAAGTCTGAGCTAAAATTATTAAACACTTGCAGAGCAAATGAATCACTTGACAAAATAAATGAAATGTAAACAAAAAAATATGTAATTATACAAAAAATTATAGTGCTAGGAAAAAACAGCCATGTGCAATACAAACCTGGCAGACCAGCCGTGAAAAGTGGATTTTTTTTCCCCTTTAAGTAACTGATCTAATAAATTGGCTCTAGTTAGTGTGTTTAGAGAATATGTGCTATATATGGTTAGTCACATGCTGTAGATTTTACACTGCAGATGAAATGCCATTGGCCTGTGTCATGTTAAAGCGTTTCCTTAGAAAATACATTTAAGAATGATTTATGCTATTTTAAGCTGCCATATCTAATGTAGTTCTGGACACATGCCCAGTGGAGAATAAAGGCCAAAAATAGCAAAGCATTCTATTTTTTTATTAACAAGAGTGAACGGTTTTGGTTAAGTCAGCACAGCAGTGCACCGTGGGTATCCTTTTCTACACTGAGCATTCATTCACTGTCCCAGATATTAGAGTTAGACCTTCTCTGAATGGAAAGTAAGAATGCTAAAAAATACTAGGTCATGCCTTTAACTATGAGACTGTGAACATCTACAATCCACTGACTGGAAAACCTGGACAATTTAATCACAGAATTAAATGGATTGAAGTCAGGGCTCATGTATGAACTGGAGAACATATTATGTCTTTACTACTGTGTGGAACTACTAACGTTGTTACCTGAATATCAACCAAATAGCTACCATAATAGGTTTATTATACTATCACCCAGATATCTACCATAATAGGTCTATTATAGTATCACCCAAATATCTACCATAATAGGTCTATTATAGTATCACCCAAATATCTACCATAATAGGTCTATTATAGTATCACCCAAATATCTACCATAATAGGTCTATCATACTATCACCCAAATATCTACCATAATAGGTCTATTATAGTATCACCCAAATATCTACCATAATAGGTCTATTATAGTATTAACAAAATATCTACCATAATAGGTCTATTATACTATCACTCAAATATCTACCATAATAGGTCTATTATAGTATCTCCCAAATATCTACCATAATAGGTTTATTATACTATCACCCAAATATCTACCATAATAGGTCTATTATACTATCACCCAAATATCTACCATAATAGGTCTATTATAGTATCACCCAAATATCTACCATAATAGGTCTATTATAGTATCACCCAAATATCTACCATAATAGGTCTATTATACTATCACCCAAATATCTACCATAATAGGTCTATTATAGTATCACCCAAATATCTACCATAATAGGTCTATTATAGTATTAACCAAATATCTACCATAATAGGTCTATTATACTATCACCCAAATATCTACCATAATAGGTCTATTATAGTATCTCCCAAATATCTACCATAATAGGTTTATTATACTATCACCCAAATATCTACCATAATAGGTCTATTATACTATCACCCAAATATCTACCACAATAGGTCTATTATAGTATCACCCAAATATCTACCATAATAGGTTTATTATAGTATCACCCAAATATCTACCATAATAGGTCTATTATAGTATTAACCAAATATCTACCATAATAGGTATATTATACTATCACCCAAATATCTACCATAATAGGTCTTTTATAGTATCACCCAAATATCTACCATAATAGGTCTATTATACTATCACCCAAATATCTACCATAATAGGTCTATTATAGTATCACCCAAATATCTACCATAATAGGTCTATTATACTATCACCCAAATATCTACCATAATAGGTCTATTATAGTATCACCCAAATATCTACCATAATAGGTCTATTATACTATCACCCAGATATCTACCATAATAGGTTTATTATAGTATCACCCAAATATCTACCACAATAGGTTTATTATAGTATCACCCAGATATCTACCATAATAGGTCTATTATAGTATCACCCAAATATCTACCATAATAGGTCTATTATACTATCACCCAAATATCTACCATAATAGGTCTATCATAGTATCACCCAAATATCTACCATAATAGGTCTATTATAGTATCACCCAAATATCTACCATAATAGGTTTATTATAGTATCACCCAAATATCTACCATAATAGGTCTATTATGGTATCACTCAAATATCTACCATAATAGGTCTATTATAGTATTAACCAAATATCTACCATAATAGGTCTATTATAGTATCACCCAAATATCTACCATAATAGGTCTATTATACTATCACCCAAATATCTACCATAATAGGTCTATTATAGTATCACCCAGATATCTACCATAATAGGTCTATTATAGTATCAACCAAATATCTACCATAATAGGTTTATTATAGTATCACCCAAATATCTACCATAATAGGTCTATTATAGTATTAACCAAATATCTACCATAAAAGGTCTATTATAGTATCACCCAGATATCTACCATAATAGGTCTATTATAGTATCACCCAGATATCTACCATAATAGGTTTATTATAGTATCACCCAGATATCTACCATAATAGGTCTATTATAGTATTAACCAAACATTTACCATAATAGGAATATTATAGTATCACCCAAATATCTACCATAACACCTTTATTATGGTATCCTCATAATAGGTTAATTATTATTATCAAAGCATTTTAATCAAAGGTTCTAACACAGGGAGTTTGAAATCACACCACGTATAATGAGTGTGCACCTAATAAAAAGCATGTGTACACTGAGTGTACCCCTGTTAAACTGACAAGTTCTGGCAATGTGCATCCAGATGAGAAGCACCATTTCAACATCCGTTGGAATAAGTACCAGAAAAGGATATCAGCATTTGTGAGGCTGGAGACCGGAGGATGGACCCTGACACACAAAAAGGATACAAGATAAGGGCAGATGTCATAGTGATTATTACTGGAGTTTCACATTTAAAATTTTTGTGTGTCAGGGTCCATTTTAAGCAAATAAAGACAAACTGATGACATTGCTGAAAAAGAGTGTTTCCAATTTGGCTTTCGTGGCCTAAAATTCTATTTTCATTTTTAATTCATGACATATTGGTCAGTGAATTATCCTGTAAGAGTTTGCAGACTTTAACAAATACCAATAGGGAGGCAAAACATCCATAGAAATTAAGAGCAAGCAGTAGTCAGGATTCCAGAATTTAAGCTAGAACAAAACTGAAATTCAGGGAACAAGAATAAATAAAATAATCCAGAATATTCAATATAGCATAGTTGAAACCAGAGTATGTGAATCACATAGAACCTTGATACAGTCAAGAACCACAAAGTGTAAAGTGAGCAGTGGACATATGTAAACAGTTACTTGGAGATATGGTATCCATGCATGTGCACAGATGATACTGTTGAAATCTGTGCATCACTAAGTAATGCAACAAGGTTTATGAATGCACCTAGAAGCAAGTGAGATGAGTGGCTCGTCACATGTCAACATTCTGTACAGAGTCAAATGACAAGGTAACATAAAATGACACATTTGTTAGATGGTCAGCATAATTTATGCGAGCAGAAACAGGTGAGATCAGGAAGGAGTGGAAACATTTATACAGGTACCATAACAACCGCCATGACCAAGACAAAAAGCAGTGCAAACACAGCTGAAGTGATAACAATTTGAACTAAATATCCTCTACTCCGTTTGATGCAGACACTCACGGGGCTTACACATCTACACACCTTCTGCATTTCTAGGCCCATGGACTCAATGTTACATATTATGAGTGTTATATATATATATATTTTAGAACAACTTGGTAGGTTTCATTCACGTCAACCACAGAACCCGAAACAGAATAAGAACGAATTTCACTTCCTTCATATTTATACAAATATTTAGATGAAGTGGAAAGGCAATACCTGTTCACAGAAAGATACCAGCATTTGATACTCCAGCACCATAAATATTCAATATTCCTAAAAACTCTGGACACCAAAGTAGTGCATAGTGTTTGCAAATTAATAAAATCTGCACCTGCACCAACCATATGGAATTCTGCATTTACCTCTAGATATTTTCAAATGCACTAGTAACTAGTGGCAAATGTTAATCTTTGAATGTGACCGTATACAGATAAAGTTATTTTAGGAGATGCTAATAATAGAAGCAAACTGGTACCCCATTTACTAGAAGCTAATCCCTACATGGTCGTGATTTACTGTCCTGTCAGCATAATGGTAACATAACATATTAGCCTTGCTCCCAAAAGCCTTTCTAGAACGGGTGGCAGCAGTTCTGGGAGTGAT